CCCTAAACCCTAAACCCTACAAGGAAGCCCAAGCTCGGCGAGCCTAGGTCCTGTCTGGAAACTGCGATGACATTCCGGAGGTCACTGGGCAACAACCTGAAGGTTTAGCGGTAGCCTTATAGGATCCTTAAGGGAGGGGTTTAGGGTTTAGGGTTTAGGGTTTAGGGTTTAGGGTTGAGGGTTGAGGGTGGCTCAAGGGTGGAGGGTCCTAGGGAGCTTTAGGGAACCTAAGGGAGTACTAGGGAGAATTGGGGACTACTGGGTTATATACCCCCTTAGAACCCCCTCCCTTAAGGATTCCATAAAGCCGAAAAGACCTACCTTTTTGGGTTTCCTTAGGGGTTTTGGGTTTATGAACTATGGTTTGTATATTAATGTCGTTCCTAAAAGCGGTAGGTATTCTGGGCCACAGGTCTGGTTTAGGGGATGCAGGAAGAGTCTTCGTAACCATGGCGGTCGTAGCGATCGAAGCACAAGTGCCACTAGCTGCCTTGATTGATGAGGGTAGTACAGTTTCAGGTTCACCCTAAACCCCTAAACCCTAAACCCGTAAACCCTAAACGGTTCCGGTTTTGGCGTTGGGAGTTGTAGGGTTTAGGGAGCAGGTGTTCAGGTCACTGGGTTTAGTAATTTAGGGTTCAGGGTTTCAGCGTGTGGGTTTAAGCCTGAGCACCCCACTTTCTGAATGTCACGTGTTCTCACAACTGCAGATCATGAACACACTTTGCTGCTTAGGGTTTAGGGCTTAGGGCTTCCTACACCATACACCCTAAAGCTTCAACCTTATCCCGTGTGCTTGAGACTTGAGAAGGCCGCATTTTACATGATCGGCGGCATGTCGGATGTGAAGGAGAAGGCGGGCAAAGCCACCCCCTGGATCCTGCACAATGCCGTTTCTATCCTGATGGTGTTGCTTATCGTTGAGACTCTTCGCGTTCCAGCTTTCATTGTTGTCACTGCCAGTGTTCCGATCGGTGCTAAGCTCTTTCCACTGACAGGCTGCCAAGCTTGCTGCCGTGGCAGCTGGCAAGTGAGTCGGGCGAAGCAAGTTGGATGTGCTCAGCATTCAGCAGCGACTGTACCACTGACACTGACACCGCACAAGCAGCACAATAGTAGGCAACACAAGCTGGACAAATGGAAGTGGGAGTTTACATATGAAGAAGCTCGTCGAAATGCTCGTTTTGGATTTTAGAAAAGGTCCGCTGCGTGCCTCGCGGTCTTTTCCGAAGCCCTAAACCTTAAACTGAAGTGCTCAAGCCACAGAAGCCTTCACAGATGAGAACCCTGAAAACCGAAGCCCTAATGAAGGGCTGGGGTTTAGGGTGTAGGGTTTAGGATTTAGGGTTTAAGGTTTAGGGTTTAGGGTTTAGGGCTGACGGAGAACCACGACTGTTCCTTACTGAACGATTCTGTACTATACAAGAACGTACCCCAAGAGCCCATTCTACCCACTGAGGCCCCGAAAAGCACTTATAAATAAAATGCCACATGGGTAGTTCTCTAAATTAGGGTCCCTTTTTAGGTCCCCGATGAAGTGCGGCACCCTTATAAAAAGGACCCTAAAAGGGACCCGAATTTAGACAACTGCCCACATGAAGAACCCTCCGAATTCTTCGGGCCCCAAACCAATCAACCCCAGACCATTCTCGAAGTTTTTTGGGGGGCCCAAACCCTCAACCACACTCTTGGGTTTAGGGTTTCGGGTCCTAAACCCTAAAACCCTAAAACCCTAAACCCTAAACCCTAAACCCTAACCCCTCAAACCCTAAACCCTAACCCCTAAACCCTAAAACCCTAAACCCTAAACCCACCCTAAAACCTTAAAACCTTAACCCTGAACCCTAAACCCTCCTTGAACTCTTGGGGCCCCTGGTTTCCTGCAGACCAACCCTCCGCTTCCGATCCCTGAGCCTTGACTCCTCGAGGGCTTCTAGTTGGTTTAGGGTTTAGGGTTCGGGGTTTAGGGTTTAGGTTCGGGGTGTAGGGTTTAGGGTTTTAGGGTTTTAGGGTTTAGGGTTTGGGGTTTAGTAAAGTATGCTTCGATAGCCAATGGGAGAGCTTTAAGCGTTTTGGACTTCTATATATTTGGTCAGTTTTTTGTTTTTCAGGTTGTCAGGGTTGAAGGCACGACTCGAGAGTTTTAGTGTTCAGGGTTTAGGGTTTATCTGTAGGTTTGGGTCTGTGGCTTTGGGGCTTACTGCGCAGGTTTGGGCGGGGGTCATTCAGTGGTACAAAAATATGAGCAGACCCCTGCACTCTGGCCGTGGCCCTCTCCATTCCACATCCTCAGACTCACATGCACATAATCATAGAAAGACGTAGATTGTGTTTGTGTGTTCGTTCCTAGGTACAGACTATAAATACAGTAATACATATATACATATATGCGCGTAAATGTAGTTACAATGCCGCGGCACACATAAACCCACAGACACACACACACACACACATACGCAAACCCGCACGTTTGCAGAGGCAGTAATGTGTTGCAAGTATGTTTGTCAGGCTGCACGATACCCTTAATTCGATGCCCCTCTCGCTCGCTCGCTCTCTCTCTCTCTCTCTGTCTCTCTGTTTCTGTCGCAGTTTCCAGATTGCAGCTGGCTTTCCGCCCCCCTCTCACCTACGAGACTGGAGGCCTTGAGGTGGATGGACAGACGATCCTGTTTATCTGGCAGGAACGACGGTCAGAGACGTCCTTCTGTCTCTTTGTTTCTGTCTCTGTCTCTGTCTCTCTTTCTCTCTCTCTCTCTCTCTCTCTCCCTCTCTTTTCTGTATAATGTGTGTATATAATATATATATATAATATATATATATATATATATATATATACGTAAATGCATACGCATGTTGTATGGGGAGAGAGCGGGGGAGTGAACTACGAACAAAGAGAGATGTGTTGTGCGTGCAACATGAATGCATAATTACAAGACAGAGAACCAAATCACACACCAAAAAGATGCATTCGCAGATATGTATATGTATGTGTGCATACATATAGACATATATATATATATATATATATTAGATGTATGTACATGTCAATCGTATTGTACTGCTGCAACCAACTCTGAATCATGAACCCTGTCATGGTAATCCCTAAACCCTAAACCCCAAACCCTAAACCCCAAACCCTAAACCCTAAACCCTAAACCCTAAACCCCAAACCCTAAACCCCAAACCCTAAACCCTAAACCCGAAACCATGCACAGGCAGAGAGCCTAGAGGCCGGTCTGGAATTGCGCTTCGGCACTCAGCGGAAGGCCCGTCGCGATTGGCCCCTAAACCCTAAACCCTAAACCCTAAAACCTAAACCGTAGGGTTCAGGGTTTAGAATTTCTTTAGAGTTATGTTTTTGGGTAGGTCTCGGAGGCTCGAGGTTTTGGGGTGCAGGGTGGAGGTATTTTGGTTTTAGGTGGTTGGTGGTTTTGAGGTGTTGGCGTTTAGTGTAGTCGGATGATAGGATGTTTGGGGTATGAGTTTGGAGTTTGGGGTTTCGGGGACTTGAGTGCAGGGTTTGTTGGAGTTGTGACTGCTGTGAGTATACGGGTTGTTTTTTTGGGGGGCACGGCTGGGGGGGTTAAGGATCACGATCGGGTCACGGATGTACTACTTTGGGGGCTCCTTATTATAATTATAGTACAATGGACCCCCAAAGCCCTATTCTAAGTATTAAACCCTAAACCCTAAACCCTAAGCCCTAAATAGTATAATGGACCCCCAAAGCCTTATTCTAAGTATTAAACCCTAAACCCTAAACCCTAAATAGTATAATGGACCCCCAAAGCCCTATTCTAAGTATTAAACCCTAAACCCTAAACCCTAAATAGTATAATGGACCCCCAAAGCCCTATTCTAAGTATTAAGGCCTTGAGGGTTTTTAGGGCCTGCAGGTGCGTACCAAGCCTTGGCCTGCTAGGTACGGTTAAGGTTTAGGGTTTAGGGTTTAGGGTTTAGAAGTGGGAAGCGCGTGCCATGGCGCATTCGGGGGGGTTTAGCGTTTAGGGTTTAGGTTTAGGGTTTAGGGGTTTAGGGGTTTAGGGGTTTAGGGTTTAGGGTTTAGGGGGATCAGCAGCTCGGGTAATATAGGGGACTTAATAATTGGAATAGGATTTGGGGGCATATTTTACTACAATTATAATAATAAGCCCCCAAGATCCTTCTATTCTAATTAGTAAGGCCCCTACCCTACAAATGTTTACGGGCCAAATGATCTCATGAAGGGACATGGGCTCAGTGGGTGGCGGGCCCTATCTTGTAGGCCTGTAGGGGCTTGAAGAATTACTTATATACTAGTGTGGGGGTTTCTTATTGTAACTGTAGTAGAATGGGCCCCAAACACCATCATACTCTAATTATTAAATCCCCTATATTATTCCACTTGCTTTGCATCCCTAGGTGAGGACGGTCCAAATCAGATTGAAAGCGGAGTGCACGCTTTAATTAAGCTTTAAGCGGTGCAGGGATGTTGGGCGTTGACAACTTGGGACTTGTCATTTTCCGTGTACATGCTTCGGCAAGTTCTAAGCCTTGAACCTTCAATGCCACATACACGATGCACTTTGTTTATGATTTACCCTAACCCCTAAACCGATTTATGACTCGATTTGGGGTCCCAAAACTTTCAACACTTTCAGCAGTCACAAGCAATGAATGCTAAGCCTGAGAGCCTGAAGTACCTACATCCCAAACCCTAACACACCCTAAACCCTGACTCCCCTTAGCCTTACCATCCGAAACCCTAAACCCTCTAAACCCTAAACCCTAAAACCCTCTTAGCCCAACATCCGAAACCCTACGCTGCCAAGCCCGAAACCTTTTTGCACGGAGGCCGACAGCCCCTGGCCAGGCGGGCAGAAATCGGAGACGATCTCTGCAGGGGAAGAATTTGTGGCACTTTTTGTTCCAGGGTTTAGGGTTTTGTAAGATTTTTAGCGTCTGGGTTGAATAATTAGTCACCCCTTTTTCTTGGTGTTTGGGCGGTCTTTGAGATTACCCTGCTTCTGAGGGGCGGCTAAATCAGAGTTCCCCATTTTCTTCATCTCAGCCTACAAAATGGAACGGGTACTAGTATGCGTTATCTGCGATGCAACGATGAATATCGCAGGCACATAGTATACCTAGAACCCAGAATCTGAATGCTAGACGCTGGGCGATACGGCTTACAGCCAGCCCAGTCGCCGACAAGGATCCTAGCCCTGGCTTGAGGGATTTCGAGGCCGAGCCCCCGCTTCTGTCAGGACGGATAACATAGGGGCCTACATGATTACCCATACTAACACCGTCCAATGCCACCAGTTCTTTGCTAGATGCAGCTGGATAACTACAACGAGAAGCACCCAATTTCTTGTCTTGAACACACATTCTATTACTATTTTGGAGGCTCCCTGTTATGATTATAGTAGAATGGGCCCCAAAACCCTATTCTAATTATTAAGGCCCCTACATGAGTTTGGGGGTGCAGGGCTTTGGGGTTCGGGGGTTTTGGGGGTTAGAACCCCTAAGCCCTCAACCCCAGGGTTGACGTTTTAGTCGCATTCCGCGCTTTTTGGGGGGCAGAGGTGGGGCGGGCTCTTCACCCCCGTCAGACCTCTGCCTAATATCGACGATCACCCTAGGCCCTAAACCGCGACAGGCTCCCCCGAGTCAGTGCCTATGCCTTCCCATCTGCAGCTGCAGGAGTGCGGAACCCGGCCAGGGGTTCAGGGCTTCAGAGGTCGTTACGGGTTGAAGAGGGTTATTCTAAACAAGGGTTCCTTCGAGGCTCTTTAGGCCTTTTCAGTGGGGTTCCTGTAGAGTTGCAGGTATAGGGATTTAACGCTAAACCCTAAACCCTAAACTTAAAGGAACCCTACAGGGTTTAGGGTTTAGGGTTTAGGATACTTTAAAAGAACCCTATAACAGAGGGGGATCCCTGAAAAGGTTAGACGCCTATGCCGAGCTCGTTGAGCAGCTCCGCAGCGAAGTCGCCATGGAGCGCGCCGAGAGGGAGGCTGGCGACTGGGGGATTGTTTAAAGGGAGATATATATATATATATATATATGGTATCCCCCCCCCAGTTAT